TCTGAGTAAACCAAATAAATTTTTAAATCAATAAAATTGTTGAAATAAGCAAGTAAACAAGAAGAGACTTTAATTTTGTACCATTATTAATCTTTTGTACCTGTTAGATCAATACTCTTCAGATAGGACAGAAAACACCTACTCCTTAGTAATTTGTTCCTTACTAAGGGACAAAATAGCTCTCTTTATCTGTGATTCATTTCTCAGTAACATTCTTTGAGACGAAGTCCTGGAACTAGCTTTGTAGCTCCCTCTTATTAACAGGCCAGCTTAGATTCCTGTCCAAACTTATCCCCCCTAACTAAATAGTAAATACTTGTCAGTGAATATGAACCATTCATGAAAACAATTATACCCTAAATTATGCTCAGAGTTATTTTCTATTTAGTGTATTGCTTAAGAAAAAGGAATACACAGAGAAAGCACCACTCACATAAAGTCTAACATAGTAGATGCCTAGATACTTATCATCCAGTTGGAGAGTCATGGAGAATTAAGTGAGACAAATTAATGCTTAACTTTACATCAGTCCAAGCTCCCCACCCCGTCCTTGTCTACTTCCTTTAAATATTGACAGCTAATCTCTTAGGTTTTGTCCTGGCTCAGTTTTTCCAGTGATTAAAAAATATACTGTTTTTCTTTTTCCTGATGGTTAACTTACTTTTTTGGGTCTGCCTGATCTTTACATACACATATGTATGTATTTCCCTTCCCTTTTGCTATTCATTGAAACCATAAGGGTTATTTTTCTTTTTCCAAGGTAAATAGAGCTGATAGGGTAAAGATAAATGTTATTTCTCAAAGTAAGAGATGGCAGGATTTTTTACTCCAGTGGAAGGGAAAATATGCTGTATTTAGCTGTCTTTTTTTTTTTTTTTTTGTGGGTGTCCCCTTTGTGTTCCTTAAGACAGCCAAACCTGAATACTTGGAAGTTTCCTTGAGTAGAAAGGAGGGAGATAAATTGTATACTTTGGTGGAGATGAAAGCTGAGGATAATATCTAGTTCTCTCACCGAGATGGCACTCAGTAAACCATCTTAGAAACTGACCTGTGAACTCAGACAATGATGGAAATTTTCCACTGTTTCACATATAAAAAACCCTACATGTATTTAGTATTGGGAAAAGTAGGATTTCAGTGACAAAAAGAACTGGCTATAAGTAATAAAAATATTTAATATAGGCTTTTACATACACTGGAGATGTTAGATTTGGGTATAAAAATCGCATAGAGATCTTGTTAAAAAAACTGCTGGCCTAGTTACCAGGTTTCTGAACATTTGGGGTAGGGATAAAAAATCTGCTTTTTTAACAAGTGCTCAAGTCAAACTGATGCTGCTGCTCTAGTGTCTATCCTTTGCGAACCATGGATTACAGAATATCCTCTATTTGTGGGGGGGGGGGGTAAAAAAAAAAGCTGTTATTAGTGACAGGTTAAGATTTTAAGTGGATAATTATTTCTCATGGATGCAATGATGTTTAGCATGTATTTTGCAGTCATAGCATAGGAAACATAGCACAGAATATGGCAAAGCCCAATAAAGAGTTTCCCTCTCACTACTATAGTCTGATAATTTTTTTAGACCTTAATTCTGGCAGTTTTTTGGAAAAAGTGAAAATGGCACTGGGCCTTAAGTCCTAAATAATGCATCGGTCCAAATAAGTGTTAAAGGATTGCCAAATTAAAGGCTAGACTGTAACATGTTTTTTTTTTTTTTTTGCATTTCACCTTTGCTTCTAATTATGACCAAAATTTCATATATAAGTAACTGAACTAAACAGAGATAATGTCCTGTTTTGCAGTTAGCTTTATTTTTATATCTGAACACATAATCATTGGCAAGGTTATACTTAACAACTGTAGATGTGTCTCTCCCGGCTAGTTGAAGCAGTTCGAATTTAGTCTTAAAATCATTGTTTGGCAAGAACAATGTGGTTTGTGAGATCAGATTGGGAATTTTATCCAATTTGGATTTACTTCTGTATCTTGCCTTAGAATTCTCTTTAACTAACTTTCCCTATCACCAATATTTAGCTCGTCCCCACGTTTTCTCAGCTCCTCCTGGCAGCAACAACTCCAATTTCCTTTCTTGGAACTTTTGTCTAGATAGTTACTACTTCATGAAATGACTCAAAGGTCATTTCACTGATTACTTTTTTTTTTTTCATAATTTGAAATGCCATTCTACTATACCTTTGAGTCTTCTGAAGAAAAACATTTTTCTTTACATTGGCACCTTTGCCCCTAGTGCTATATACACGTGCAAATCTCACCCATTCAAACACAGTTTAACCAGTCTCCTCTGTTAATTATTGAGGTTGTTAACCACTGTTATACATTGGGCACTCATTCTTTTCATTATTTTTCTTAGTAAGAATTATTATTGGGATACATTCATGGATCCTAGCCACCTATTTTTAACGATCATTTAAATCTTGACATGGACAAATGTTTGAACTGCTTTTGAATCAAAAATAACACACATGTGGCTCTTCCTAGTGGTTCAGCGGGTTAAAGCATAGCACTGGGAGGCTCTGTGAAGCCATTGCAGTACCAGTTCCATCCCTGGCCATGGGTCTGACCCACATGGCATGGCAGACCTCTCCTGGCTGGCCCGCTTCTCCCTTCAGCACTGTATTTCAGTTGTTCTTCCTGTTCTATTCCCCACTTCGTCTCTGGCAAATTCTCTTACCCCCTACACCTCTGGCCTGTATGCCAGTTTGTAGGCATAGATAAATAAATCTTAAAAAAAAAAAAAAAACACTTATACCACTATATATTTCTTAGTTGCAAACATAAATATATCAGCGGCCAACAATGGGTTTTCAAGTTAGAGTAATATTTAATTTTAAATGTAGGCATTTCATTTTTTTCACATTAAATACACATTATGTATATAGTAAAAATGATCAAGTGCATAGAAAAATGAAACAAGTACCTTTATGTGAATGTAATTTTTACTAAGAAGTTGGGATTTAATTTTTTTCTGCTTTTACATAGTTTTTTCCTCTAACTTTTTTATGCTAGAAGTAGATAACACTTATACTTAGCATTAAATAACATTTAATAGCATAATATACTTCATAGCATTTGCATCTAATATTAGAGGGTATGAAGTTAATAATTAATTAAAGAGTTATATTTAGCATATGTAAGTATATGCCAAAATATATTTAATTCCAGTACCACTTTTATGTGCAAAAACATCAGGGTTTACTTTTTCCTTTCAAACTTCTTTGCTTTGAAATAGAGTTTTCCATAACCTAGGGCCTATCAGTTATTGCCTTTAATTATCTAATGTGACACCTGATTAATGTTTTCCCATGCAGTCCCTACTCTTTCCTGGTTTACTGTTCCCCTAGTTTTCCCTGATCTTTTCCAAACTCTTCTTTCCTTTAAGGCCTAGGTCAAACCCTATTCTACATAAACCCCTTTTGCTCCAACCTTACTCTGGCATCTGAGTACAGTCTGTTTTTTCATTTTTATGATCTACTTCTTTTTCGGTGGAATATTAGCTCCTCACCTTCACTTATTGCACATATTTCATGGGGCATGCAAACAAAGGTTAGCCTCTGATAGTTAAACTGGTAAAATATGTTCTTGCAATATATATGATCAGTCATTTATGGAGAGAAAAACAAATCTTGATATAAATCCCCATTGGTCATTTTATGGCTTCATGCAGTTACCTAAGTCTTTAATGCCTTAGTTTCCTCATTTGAAAAATTGAGAGCAGTGACTTTTAGTTTGAGAAATTGGTGAAATAATTATATAAAGGACACATCATTAGTTAGAGTGCAGTGATATGCTGTAGTATAAAATGCAGTAGTTTGATTAAAAAAAAAAAACTGTTTCCCTATCAAGAACCAGTCTTGAGATGAATAGCTAATGGCTGAAGGAGAAGCTCTGCCAATTTCCGCATAGAGCTTTCTTGGCAAATACAGCTGCTCTAGTTGTACTAGACAACACAAAGAGAAAAAGAGGAAGTGAGAGCAGGGTTGCTTCCTCTCCATCCCATTAGTCAACATTTAGGCCTGTAACCACATTTAACTGCAAAGGGGTTTGGGTTTTTAAGTAGGGGTTTGGGTTTTTAAGTCTCAACTGTGTGTTCTGCTAAAACTTAGGGTGTAGGCCCTATTACTAATGGGAGAAGAATAGAATGGGATTGGAAAACACTCTTAACAAAATCAGGATTCTGAGCCTGAAAGGCTGTAGCTGGATCCCAATTGGGATGAATTGGGAGTGAGACCTGCTGAGAGCTTCCATCTGATCTCTCCAGCAAACCCCTTTTACCAAAACGGGTGCCTCTTGTATCCTTTCTTTCTTGCCATTAAAAACACCTTTACAAGGTCTGTTCATACAGAAGGAGCAAGGAGTGGCTAATTCTGCCTCTGACCCCGACTTTTTTTATCCCCACCCCTTCCTGTTTTACTATCCCCTAGGTTAAATAAAGGAAAATTACAACACAAGGGTATTCCAAAAATTTCATGTCAGTTGACTTTCAAGAATATGCAGTTTGATTTTGTAGCAAAGTGATGTTACAAGGTATCTGGGTGCTAGAAAAAAAGCTTGCTTTATTTTAAGATTTATTTATTTGTGCATACAGAACTGGGGTACAGGCCAGAGGTGCAGAGGTGGTGAGAGGATTCACCAGAGACAGAGTGGGGAGTAGAACAGGCAGATTGACGAAGTACACTGCTGAGGGGAGCAGTGGGCAGGTCAGGAGAGGTCTGCGGCACCATGTGGATCACCTCTGGGATAGGCGGTTATCATACGCATGTGGAAGTGGCTTTAGCTTCTTGGTGCTGTGCTTTAACCCACTGCGCCACCAGGGAGGGCGCCCTGATTTATTTTTTAGCTGCTTTTTCAGTTCTACATTACAATGTATGGCAATGTGTGGCTATCACTACATTTCCTCTTGTGAAAATATGTTGTTTTCAGGCAGTTGTGAGGGTCATGTAGCACACAGTGGTTAAAAAAAGACAGGCATCTGCTTGCGCATTCTGACATCTTTACATTTTTATTTTAAAACACAAAATTTCATATTGATTAACACCTACTACTTAACAGAAAGATGCATTAATTAAATGCCTTGTCATAACTTTTATAAGCTTTGTTAGAAAAATAAACATTTCACAATGAACTACAGTGTCAGATTTTTAATAAATACATAAAACAGAAGTTAGTAGTCAATCAGAATTATATGAACAAGTTCATAGTATAGTATGTGAAATTATCATATTCTGCAATCTTACATGTAATTTAAGGCAGTTTAAATTTATATCTAATTCGAACCCAGAAATAAAAAGAAATGCATTTAATAAAAATTTTGTTTCTTAGGGCTATTTGAAACTCAAATATTTTAAATTAAAACATTCTTTATTAAATTCCTTAGTAAAAGACTGGACTTGTTAAGTTACACAAAACAAGGGTATATTACTGATAACTTAAAATTTTTTCTAAATTTTTTTTTAGGGTTTATAAAACTTTAATGAAATAGCTGTAAAGTATTTTTAATGTTATGTTAAATATTCACCAAATGAATTTCTTAAGGTGTGTAATTTTATTTTCATAATTTAGAATTAAAACATTTTACATTCAACATTCTTAACAACGTCTGTGTGCCATACCTGTCATTGTGTTGAATTCTTTTCAAAATCATATTTATCTGTGACAATGCAAATTAGCAAATTTGTTTACAATGATCATGTCTTTTTCATTCTTTATGACAGCAGTGTTTTTTTTAAAAAATATATTTTTGGATTAGATAATTTTAACTGAAGTAGGTTGTATAGGTTAGAAGTAATAGTTAGCTTCCAATGATAAATTGGAAGATTAAAGAATAGTGTTATTACTCTCAGCTGCCCAGATAGCTGAATAATTGTTTCAAATAATTCAAATAATTTAAACATGTAGATTGTTGAATAGTCATTACATCTGCTGGAAGGTAAGTTTATCAGAGCCCAGATTAAAAATAAAAAATCAAAGAACAGAAAATATGATAAGAATAAAAAAATGTAGGAGGACTCAAAGGGAAAGTTTTCTCCACAGCACTGATAGTTTGAATCATATTTTCTCTCCTTATTGTCATAAGACATACAAGATGCTACAAAAATTTAATTATGATGGTCATGTAATATTTTCCAGTTCTGTTGGAAACAGATTTTGAAAAGAATAGAGAGAATACAAATTTGTTAACAAAACTGAGAGAAACCTATTCTTCTTTTAAACCAAGTTAGGGTTTCCCGTAAATTCCTGCCACTAGCATAAAATAATAAAAGGAGACTGCAAGAGCTTTTCATAGTGAAAAGGATTATAGAATCGGAGCATATAATCAAACATACTCCATATGAGTTGCATATGATTCAGCTATACTGAAATTGATTTCACATGTCATCATAAATGGATTCGTAAATATGTATAAGCAAAGCAATGAACGTTTTACTCATGAGCATTTAAAGATAAATTAATATAATGTTGAAGCACAACTTTAAATATTGCATCTAAGGTGCCAACAATTGCAAATGACATCACAATTTTAGTGGTGTTGAATTAAAAAAGTTGGTATCTTCGAATCAATGAAATATCAGTATGTATAATCAGTTACACGTAATGAATTTGCCTTAGAGGAAGTATAAAAGAAAAGGAGTGGTCTGAAAGAATACAAGCTCTGTATGAAAATATATCTCAATATGTATTACATGAAGTAGAGTTTTTAAGGTCTGTGTAAGTAATTATAATCATAAATTAAATGTTAAGAATAAATAAAAAAATACAATATGCACATGGCTGAACTTCCAAGTATATCTCACTCGATACTTTCATGAAAATAGGTAGATATCAAATTCTTTAATATTTAAAGTTCAAATAATTGTGAACATTTTCAGTTCTTAGTTTTTAGTGGATCTATCATTGTTCAGGAGTATAAGTCAAATGAGTTTTAGAAACAGTGTGTTATTTGCAAATGAACTTCATTATATTATTACATTTTATTTTTTGCCCACAATTAGACTTATTGAACATGAAGCTCTGGGGCAATTTCTTAGGAAGAGTTAGTAGAAATCAGGAGTAAAGAAAGGAAGGAAAAGCTATTGAGTCTAATCTGTTCTACCAGGGGAATGTAATTCTATGGAGAAAAATTTTTATGGTCCCTTGTAGTCACAGTTCTGTGTGTCTCATGGATGCCTCTTGTAATGTCTTCATGGAGACTAAATATATATTTAAAAATATGGAATTTCTGCTTTAGTTTAGTGAAGCATTGCATCTATTGTATCCACTAATTCTGAAAATTTTGCCTACACAGAAATCAATTCTGCTTAACCTTAGATTTTTTAAAAAAAAAATTATAATCAAGTTAAATTGAACATTAAAGACTAAATATGAGATTTAAAATATTTTTTTTCTTGTAGAGAATGCCTATGACTATAAATATTAATAAATTTTAGAAAAGATGACAAATGTTTTTAAATCCATGCCTACAGTATAAAGATATCCCCAGAGAAATAAAATATATACAGTTACATTGTAGTGTATCACGGTACATTTCTAAATCATTATATACTTACTTAGGGCATAGAAATGCTGTCGTACCAAAAGTGTTCAAGTTCTTAATTTTGTTAACCATTTACTCATGTTTAGTTATCAGTGACTATCAAAAGGCTCCTGTGGTCATATTAGTTGAAAATAGGCTCTATACACATAAATTACTTAATCTAAGAATACCCTGTTTTCCCTTACATTTTAATTAACTCTAAATAGTCAAATGTTAGTTTATTTCTCACAAGCATTATACAGGAAAATATCAATTATTCAAGTAAAATGTAAGCTCTAAAAATCTTTTAAGGATTACATCTTTATGAAAAAAAAAAAAAAGCACAAGATGTCATAATCATCTAGCATCGAACTCCCTATCAGGAAGTCTGTCTCTTCCTATGATAATAACAGCCTTGGTCCATTTTAAATTAGTGCAAACTAATAAACATGAACAAATATATACCCCTGATTTTAAGTCTTTCATTTTTTTATACTTTTGTGAATAATTAATTCTATATGAAAACTGGTTTTTGAACATCATTATGTTCATTCTTTAAATTGTCTACATTTTAATGAGTGGATATTTTCCCTTTTCCCTTTTAGAGGACTGTTAGGTATCCATTTCCATTTCTTTTTCTTTTTCAAAAAGATACTAGAAGTGACAGAGAGGCTGCAAAATACAATTTTACATTCTTCTTGGTGATCTAAAATATCTCACTCAATTGAGTCACAGTTTAGAATTATGTCAGTGTTCCCAATCACTCATTTGGGAAAGGGAATACACTTCAACTTAGTGTCATAACTTCTTCACTGTAGATGGTGGCTAATGGAGCTGCTGTATTCTAAAGACATTTTAAATAAATTTCTTTGTTAAAATAGGCAGAGCTCTTACAGAACACATACTTTGAATCAGTTGAATGAGTCTGTAGGGATATGGAAATTGTGAAGAAGTTTCTGTTAGGGAAGATAAAGTTTGTGGCCTTTGTATTAAGTTGTCAAACTGAGCAGTGCATACTACCTGAGAGCAGTGTTCACTCTGGAAATGGTATGAACGAATTCCCCTGTAGTTAGGCTCTGCTGCCATATCTTAGAAGCTCATTAATGAGAAAGACTGGAAGCCAGTCATGGGCAATCTCTTTGAATTATTTTCTGTTTACTTCAGAATTTTTCATGTTCATATACTTAAGACTCGAGCAAATCACACTCAAAAATACTTACCAATTATATATTTTTAAGATTCAGGAGGTAGTGTGATACTGTGTAATCAACACTGGCCTGGCTTTTTGAGAAATCATTTAAAAGTTCTGAGTATCGATCTCCTTACTAACTAAAGGGATGGATTATCTAATTACTACGATGTTATCTGTTCTCTCCTTATTGTATACTTTTGAATTCTGATGGGGGGATTGATGTGATTCAGGAAGAATGTTCTTAGGCTGCATTAAAGAGCAAAAATAATACAGATTTGCATTTGAAAAATACTAATATTTACTTGAGTAAATATCTGAGAACATTTACTCAAAAGTGTGGCACTTTGCTTGAGGCAGTTTCTATGTATCTTATGAATTTCAACCTGATGATTAAGCAAATGAAATTGTGAAACAATCCATCCAGTTTACCAGGTAAGAAGATACATAAAAACTACATGTCTGCAAACAAGGAAGCTATTCAGATTTTGCTGTTACTTTACAGTGTCCCTTATTAAACATTCAGTTTTTAAAACTAGTATTCTAATAAAGTGACATTGTATTAGTTTTATATGGCAGTAGTAACTTAGCACTTATTAAATCCAGTCATCTGTGACATATATAAATTTATCCTGTAAGAAAGAAAACAAAACATATAGGCAAAGAGATGAAAATGTTGGACTTAGTATCCATCTTGTAAGAAGAACAAATCATAAACATACATGCATAAAACTATCCTTCAAGAATTAATGATCTATCTTGAACAATAAATGTTCACCTCTTAAAAAAATGAATAGTAACCATTTATTCACCTAGCTGTTTTTACTTACTCACTGCCAATTGATGTATTTGGCAACATCAGTATATCTGTCTGCCTGATTTTTTGTTTTTTTCATCTGCATGTTTGGGATTTCATCTGCAGGGATTACTGTACCCTTGTAGTGACAATGCCAAAAGTATCACAGCATTGTATCTGCGTAGGAATGGCAGTACCTGTAAAGTGTAATCAGTGCTCTTCAGATGATCTACATTCTATGCTGATCTAAATAAGTTATATATTACAGTAAAGTGCTACAATGACACACTAGTCTCAAACAGTAGTAAGACACATTTTTCTCTGAAAAATTCAGCAGCGATGTGAGTCACACGGTGATGAGGAAGCTTGTCAGTCTTCATTGGACATCCAGCAACCAACATGATCTAGAGCAACTTGTCTCCTCCTGTGACTTCTAAAATTATAATTTTAGGAGCAGTTATTAAAAATCCAGTTTGCCATATGGTACTTTAAAAAAATCTTTTCAGAAGTTGCACCTGAAAGTTTCATGAGCATTTAATTTGCTGATATCCATTTTTATTTCTTCAGGTTTCTCACGTCGGTAAGTTACTGCTCTAGTGCAAACACTTTGCAGAATCAGCTTATCCTTGATGGAGAAGAAATATTATCATTAACTGAAAGAATAAAAATTGGAAGTAGACAATGACAAATTTATAATAGTTCTTTTTAAGAATCCACTGACCTTTTTTGAAGTTGATACTCTGTAATCTGCGGAGGACTTAATTTTATTACTACTCCATTGTAGTATCACCTGTCTAATGATAAGGACTTTAAGCAACCCAATCAAGAATGTAACTATGCAGATGATGAAAAATATTCTCAAGTAGCTCGGACTAGAGAAACATTCTGTAGTGAAGCAAATAAATAAAAGAATTAAAAAGCTGGAATGAGTAATCAAATGATTCTAACAAGTAAACAATATCCACCATTTATTTAATGGGACCAGAAATATTCACAAATCTCTTTTTTAAAAACAGGGACTGCTGTTACTTTTGATTCAAAAAGAAAACTGTCAATTTTTATTATAAATCTATTTAAGTACTTTGAACAGAAAACTATTCTTTGGAGAACAGTCACAATTAAGATATTCAATACGATTATTTCTTTTCCACTGGTTTTTTAAATTGTACTAGCTGGAAGGTGATCAAATCCCTTAACTAAATATAATTTTATCCATGACAGAGGGGACAGTTTCGTGGTACATATTGTGTATCATTGAGTGGAAAATAAGACTCAAAAATTATTTAACTGCCCAGGCTTAGTATATGTTTCTCTTGTTATGCTTGCACCCCAGTAATGGAAAATAAAGTAAACATCTGTGGAAGCTAAAATCAGTATTACTCTAATAAATGAATAAATATTTCCTTGGAAATAGCCATGCTAGTTTTCATTATATTTGCAAAAGCCTTCTCAGGAAAGAGGCATGTGTAATCTGGGACAATATACAAATCACTTTCCTTGCTTTTTATTTTATTTTTCCTTGTGTGTTAACCAGATCTGCCTTTTTCCTTCTAAAAAGTTCTCTGTGTATGTTTTCAAGAACAAGCAATTACTGACTGGAAAAGGAAATGCTGTGGTAAGAGGAGGGACATGCTAGGTCTCTTTTAGCACAAGAATTTTGGCAAACTTTACTTGGAAAGTGTGCAGGTTCTGTGTTTGTCAGAGACATAACCCTAATTTAGGAGAAATGGGGCTGCACATAATGCAGATGCTCCACAGAACTCACCAGTTTCCCCAGACTCACAAAATTACCTGCTGGCCCAAAGGAGTATGTGTTTCCTACCCACTCTCTAAACTTTGGGGGAACTTCACCAAATACCTCCTGGTCTCCCTGAGAGGTTCTTTCAGGAAGGGAATTGCCAAGAACAGGGAATCACACAATCATGGGTGACCTTGGTTAATTTCCTAGGAATAACCAAACGTGCTCTTGAATAAGGCATGAACACCAAGTAGAAAGACTTAATAGAACCCAGTTTTCTTTTTGTTATGTTGTGATTCCTTGAGAGAAAGGCTAATGGGATGCCCAGATAATTACTAACTGGAATAGAGATACCAAACACAAATGCAAATCTGACAGATTTACAGCCCTCACAGAGAGATCCAAGATGCTCTATTCAAAGGTGCTGTCCTTGCAGTCTTCCACAGTGACCTTCAAGTGACATGCTTGCCTTTCATCCTGATAGGCTGTTATTTCCCTTGGCTGACTATGAACTACTCAGTCAGCTATGGCAGATCCTCAAGGAGGCACGTGGCTTGATCCCATTTCCTGGCTTCTCTCCTAGTAGGAGCTTAGCCAGAAAGACCAAAAGAACACCCTTTAAGTGTGATTGAGTGGCTAGATAATAGAGGTGGCTACCAAATGCCCTTTCCTTCTCCTTGCAAAATAGTTGTGAAGGGGAGGGGAGCCCCCTAGCTACCAATACATTTTAAGAATATCTCTCATGGGTAAGGATAGACATTTTCAAGGCTCAGATCTAAGTGCATTTTAAAATGTAGTTCTTGAGAGTCAAACATTTCTCTCTGGCCATGATCTTTCCTAGTTTAGGTCAAACAAGGGCTTTTTCTGAGGAGCTTTAAGGGAATACTTTTTGTAACCACACTTAGGTCAGAGTAGATTTGTTTGCTTAACATAATAAATGACATGTTGACAGTAAAGACTTTATTTATTAGGAAAGGCCCTTGGATTTCTGGAGTGTTGTTGCAGCCCCAGCTGGCAGCACATGGGTTCTTTTCAGAGCCAAATTTGTTATGGGCTAAGATTAGCATGGATGTAAAGGAAAAAGAAAACGAAACTGGAGAAAGTTTATTCTTCTGTGCAATCTTGCTAAGTGCCAGAATTATTCCTACAGGTTTGAGGAGAGAGTAGAAATAACAGTAGAAGTAGGAATGTTTTCAGTGGAGTCATAAGTTTAAAGTTCATTTTTAATCATGTAGTTTAAAACCTATACCTGAGCAAAATAGGCTGCTGTCATTTGGGGTACTAATGAACTTAAAAAAAAAAAAGGCCTTTGAGTGTAGCTTTCTTTTGTTCCATTTATAAAACCCTTTATCTACTTTTGAATGTTTGCTGGCTTATTTAATCTCACACAACTCTTTGAAGTTGGTAGAGGAAATATAGACTCAGGGTAGTTTTGTAAGAGGCTAATAATGTGAGAGTAGGTGTTAAGCTTATTTCACCAGAGTAAAATTTCTATATCCTTCATATTGTGCTACTTTCATAATCATTCACCCTAAATTATATTTATATCACAATGAAAACAACCAGGAGAAAATGTCATTTTAAAGTTATGTATTTTTCAAAAACATTATAGGATTTTTTTTTTTTTTTTTTGCTTTACCTCGAACATGGAAGTAAGTGTGGGTTTAACATCAGGAAAGTTATAACTGGAAGCAAATTTGAATTATGAAGGATAATTATGGTTCAGCGCTTGCCTCTAAGAATGAAGTGAGCTTTACATAGGGAAGACTCATTCTTGATCCATGGAGGTCTCTATAGGAAATATGACATAACTTCCATGAAGTTATACAACAGGGGAATTTAGCTGGGTAATTGAAATGGGAGACCTAATAGTTCAGCCAAGTAGTGGTAAGCATGCTTAGCTAATTTTATGCAGTACCATCTCAGAGAGATTGAAAACACTGAAGTAGCTAGTTCTTTAGGATATTAATTGTGGACCACTTGAGGGAACATGAGCATCAACAAGTCCTCTTCAATGCTTTGTTAATTAAGCATTGGTTTACCTGATGTTTGGTACACATAATGCTGTTCCATTCGAGCACATGAGGTTTTACACTGATCAAGTATAGCTTGAGACAGATTATGGGGATGAAGGCATTGCACACAATTCCTGTAGGATGAACAGAAACAAAAATACTCATTCTTCATAAAGTCGATAGCCTATAATATTCTGCAAGAATAAAGTAATCAAAGAGTACTGCACTAGGAAAGCAGTCCTATAAAACTGGAAAAGAAAGCTGTGATACTTACTTGTAACCTTGGGTGAATTTCATACCATGGCAAAATTATTTTCTAATGAATTAAAATGATTTAATGTATAAAATCAAATAATGAATCTTCTGTACTCAGAAAAAATCCTAGAGAATGCATAATATACACACAGACATACAAAAAGTATAGGCATTATGTAAGATAACTATTTTGACACAAATAGAAAAAATTACAAATACTTTTCAAAATTTGGTTGAGTTCATTAGAAATAATTCAATCAAGATGTTTTAAGTACTGCATTTCCAAGTAAATTACATAAATTACTATGCATAATTTAAAACATTGGATATTAGCAATCTGCTAAAGTGAATGTATTAAAAATTTTGAATCAACTAAATTAGAAAATACAGTGTTTTATTGATATTTATATAGACATGGTCTTTGAATTGGTCTCAATAACTTCTGAAAATTAGTTATTGTCATGAAACAATGATATCTTCATTTAACAACTATTTACTTTTATTATTCATCATATTTTTACAGTTCTTCATAGCCACCATTGGTCTTTATCTTTGCAATAATTAAAATGGAAATAACTGCTAACATTTATTTTGTGATTACTGTGAACCAAGTACAAATGTGTGTGGTGTTTTTTTTTTTTTTTACATGAACGGTCTAATTTATTTTTTTAGCAGAATAATAGCAAGGTATTGTTGCTATCCTCACTTGCATAATAAACCAAGGCACAGAGAATTTCAGTAACTTACTCTGGGTTGAAAAGCTAATTCATAATACAAAGGAAAATATGCCAACCCTACATAATCATAAAATATACCTAAAATTTACATAATGTTATGTTACATCTTAATAAAACTGAAAAAAATACCTGATGAATCATTACAAATACTAAATAGTGTTCTTAAAAAAAAAAACTATTTCAAAAAAGTAAAAGTAGTGAATACCTAGAAAAATTCTGATGCTCCCACAGCTGATTGGCCAAAGAGCTAAATAGCCTTTCCAGTTATATTTTAGCATGATAATTCCAGTTTTCCTGGAGAAGATCTAGCAGCTTTTAAGACTAAGAAATGCAGGGAAAGGAAGGGCAAATATAGCTATACCTAAGAACGGCCTTGTTTGATCTGAGTCAGAAAACACATACCAGTTTTCACTGCAGGCTGTGTGACACGCAGGGCAGTGTTCACAGAAGCGGCCAATGCTCCCAGGCTCAGTGCACTCACACCGGCCACATACACACGTGCCTCTTCCACTGCACACTTGGCCCTTTGCATTGATACAGTGCTGGGCTGATGCCGCTGGACAATGGCACCGATCCCCTTCCCAGCCACTGAAACACTGGCACCTGCCCGCTTCACACTCTCCGTGTCCTGTAACAAAACACTCCAGGACCTAAGTTATTAGGGCCACTGACTTTGTGAAGTCTTTCCAACCATGGATCCCCCTCCCATCTCTGTGAAAACACACTGACAGTGAAGTGAATGGAAACAACATCATTTTCTAAATAACAGGATTTGGAATGTCTATTTTCAAAACTGTTCGATGGTAGATAATCTTCCCAGTGCTAATCTATTGTGCTGACACGTGTGAAGTTGAGCCCTGCTGAGTGACTGTTTGACTACTTGAAGGTCACTGTACATTCAGTTTTAAATTAAAAACACACAAATATCAAGGAGTGACAGAGGTTGAAGTAATGTCTGTTGTCTGACGTGACATCCAAAAGATGGTTATTTGATTAATAGCTCCCATAATTTCTGAGTTTCTTGTTAGTGCAAAGACCTGGGATAACTTTATCTATGAGGCAAACCCTAATGGTGTTCTGGTTCTGAAGTTTTCATTTGTGCAAGTGCCATGTTTAAAAATAAGATCTCTGGGGAAGTAGAACTAATCCTTTCACATTTGGACATTACTGAGCAGGTTAGGGGCCTGGCCCAAATTATGTGTGAGAGCTGCTAGCCTAGTCGGTGATTGGTGAAGTATACAGCAAGGCAGTGTGTGTACCTGTGTGGGGGTTGGAACATTTGTGCAGAACAATAAGTTGAGGAGAAACACTAGTTATTTGTACTTAAATGGATTTGAGACCAAAGGAAGTATCCAAAACCTAGAAATTTCCAAGAGAGGATACATTTTAAAGGGTTATATAGCATTCTTTATTTGGCTACATGTTTCCCTCCCTTTCTTCCTTCCTGTCTTCCTCTTCTTATACCTCACAGGGTAACTATTACATAGAATGCTAGATCAGCTCAGTTTACTGAATTAAGACTAATAAGATCCAGGCCAAACAAATGCCTTCCAGACCTTGCTCCCATAGGCAAGCTGCTTGCGTAATCCTTGCCAGTCAACCTATGCATGTTTTTATCCCCAAAAGAGACTAGTGAAGAAATTGCTTGTCAGCTTCCAGTTTCACTTACATACACAAATAATTCAAAGCATATTGTCAGCTGCCTGTGGGTCAGTGGTATCATAGTCATAGAGAAGAGTTAGTACATTGATTTTTGATATTTCACCATATCAGAGCTTGGAATTTTCAGCGTTTTTGTCAGTGTATTTAAGTTCTTTGAGACGTTAACAGATGTGAGAAATGATCTCAAAATTCCTTCTCTTCCCTGTCCCAAACAGGATTAGTTCTGAAAAAATAGCAGACAACTGTCGATTTATTATAGTCATTTATAATCTGTTCTACTCATGATACCAGGTACAGATGAATAAATGTTTTTAATATAAAATATTCTGCGTATATAACAGAATAAAATGACAATTTGGCATCATAAAAATCAAAATTTTGAGTTATATAAGAATCTTTAATTGCATATAGGTTTGTTACTTTCCATATGTTTACAGAAATGAAATATTTTAGTTCATCAATAATTCAATTGATATTTGGTCATAAAATGAAAAACTATGTCAGTTATTTTCTCAGGGAGTAGATTTAGTATACTTATTGTCATAGAAAAATTAATTCTTTAATAACATTAACTTTAAAATGTTTCATAGATTTTTTGGAATCTAACCTCTAGATGGCAGTAAACTGAATTAATAAAAAATACACTACTTTTTATACTTTTGTTTTATTTCATTTTTAAAATTTGGCCTGTTTGTGATCTCTGAAACTCACATAGCTTATTTATAAAACCAGCATTTTCTTTTCACCATCCTCTGAGAAAGCTAGAAGGGGTGACCATTTATGACGCTGTGTCAGATCCTTCTAGGAGAAACTTTTCAGATATCATCAGTACTTTTCCTTTTCTGGTATAAATATTCTGAGGTCAAGGAAAACTTGAGAATAACAATTGAGTGTTGGTTTTTACTTTTAAGTATTCCTTGGACAAAGTTACATATGTGTGTGTGTGTATATATGTGTGTGTGTGTATATATGTATATGTGTGTATTCATGTGTTTATAAATCATGTACTATAAATCTTGCCATGTCCTATGTTCTCAGGCTTTCAAACTCTAGGTATTAAAAATTCAATTTTGATAATTTGCAAGATGTGATTTCAAGATACTTTCACATATAAGCTAGTTTTCACTCATTTATTGAACTGCATGTGTATATTTATACTTACCAGCACATAGATTTCCATGATGATATGGACAAGAAAAGTCATCCTTTTCACAGTATTTTCCATACACTTTTCCAAACTTAGTTTTGTGACATAAACATTTTCCACAAATACAAACTCCTCGACCACTGCAAACAGGTTGATCCTTGTGTGACTTGCAACTCTCATAAAGGGATCGATCTTCATCAAAATGACATTTATTTTCATCGCATTGGAAACACTTGGCATCTAGAATAGATTCATCTACACACTTTCTTTTAGGCTCTCTGCTGTCATCACACCGACAGCTGCAGTTTCTGTATATGTGAATTCTTGTGGTTTCATTGAAACCAATAGGCTTGATTATTGCATAGCTCTTTCCTCCTGTGACATCACATCTTTTCATTGTAATTGTTACATTGAAAAGAACCTAAGTTGGGAGGGGAAGAAAACATATTTATATATATTGATTATTTTATTACCAGTATTGTATCTGTTAAATATATTTTGAATTAAATAATATAAGAAAAAATAATCTTTTTTAGAAATTAATTATAAATAATACACTCTCTGTATATGAATGTAATATCCTATTAAGATGTCATTTATTTCCTATCCAGTGAACTAGAATTAAAGATGCAATTGTTGATAATTGCCTATATTGAACATAGGTGCAAGCCTATTTGAAATGTCTATTGTACTTTCTAGTGATTAATTTATGTGCTCAGCTCATTTCTTAGCAAACTTGACAGAGGAGGTCATTTTCTGGATTCAATCCTTAAAATATTGGGTGATTGAATATTTGGCACCAAAGATAGGTTTAGCTTATTTATATGAGGAAATGTGAGGCTTTCTCTGTTACACAAGGGGAGATTTAGAGTTCTTATTCTCAGATCTTCAGACTTTATTACAAAGCCATGCATTTGTCTCAGTGGAGATTTAGAGTAGAAAGAAGTAAGGATCTGGGCTGGCAAGACATGATTTTCCTCTTGAAACTACAGTTTCTTTCTCTCACCAAGGTTTTTGTTTGGGCTGGTTATTAGATATAGATAAAGAGAAACACATAAGTATTTTTCATATGTACAGAGGTATTATACATATATAAGATTTGTATATATAAATCCCAAACAAAAATGCCTAGTACAAATACACAGACATAATTATAAGGTCTAAATTTAGGCATACATATAATATATATGTATTACAAACTAGAATCTTGTGATATTATAATCAATACAAAGGGTGTACTTGAAATGTTTTTTTTCCTTAAGAATGTTAAGTCCTAACAGATGTATAAGATAATATGGTCACTGCCAATATTAATAGTAGAATAAAACTTGGGATTTGCATGCTTTAAAGGTTATATGACTATTCCTGAGAGTCAAACTATTTATACTTGCTTAAAGGTAAGGGGGGAAAAAGGATATAGAACAAAGTAAAAGAAACCAAAAATGTAATATGTAAAGCATTGATTTTGAAATTAAAAACTACTTCTAAAGGAATATAATAACCCTTTGTTGGAAAGTAATTTAGTAATCGTTTTCTAGTATAACGTTTTCTCCATATTCAGTGGAAATCAAACTTATATTTTGTAAACAGATATAATGCATATAATGTCTTTTGAATAAATCCAATGACTAATTTTTGGGGAGCCTTCAAAACTAGAAACTAGCAAAGGTAATTTCAAATATATAGCATATTTGAGCAACTCTTCTACCTACATATTATAAACTTCCCAAGAGGGTAAAATATATTTCAACTAAAGAGAAAGGAAGGTTTTCTTGTTTTCACTTTAAGAATGTGAAGCCCTATTATCTCTTTCAATAACATTTCCCCCCTCTACAGACTGACATTATTAAAATATCATAGATTGTATAGATGAAAGGAAGAGGGTCTAGAAACCTGCTAGCCCAAGCCAATCATTTAAAAATGATGAGGCAACTATTACTGCCTGAAAAAGGTAAATGACTCACTGAAACTTATCCAACAAGAATTCCCTTTAAAAACCTGTTTCTGTTTCTATTCACTCCTGTGCAGATGCTGGGAGAATCCCTATTTCCTGATATTGCTATAAACTGGGCCTCACATTCTACATCTCACCTCTTTTAAATTAAATAACATTTATTATCAAATTTCTTAATGCATTTCTTTTCCTCCCCCTAGCCCATTATGAAAGTATTGGGACAATAATAAAGTGAAAGATTTTGCAACCCCTAGCCTTTATCAACTGTGCCATCACTCCCATTCTCTTCTGATTTGTTCCCTCAATTTCACATTGTCTCTGACAATTTTCAAATTTAAAACCAAAAAGGTACTACCTGTTTAAGGAGATGTAGTTTTTAAAATGTACTAGCTGTGACACTTAAATTTAAAGTTATTACTGTTCAGTGAGCACATTAAATGTAATACATATTGTCTGCATTAACTTGAGACTTAGCAGTCAGTTGAGTTAAAACAAGTAGGAACTGGGCCCTCCCTGGTGGCTCAGCGGGTTAAAGCACAGCACTGAGAATCTGAAGCCACTTCCGCATGAGTTCGATCCCCGCCCCTGAGGAGATCCACATGGCGAGGCAGACCTCTCCTGAGCCGCCCGCTGCTCCCCCCAGCAGTGTACTTCCTCTATCTGCCTGTTCTGTACCCAGCTCTGACTCTGGTGAATCCTCTCATCCTCCGCATCTCTGGCCTGTACCCCAGTTCTGTGCGAATAAATGAATAAATCTTAAAAAAAAATTAAAAAAAACAAACAAACAAGTAGGAACTTTGAGAAGAAGCAATGAAAATTACTTTAAGTGAAAGTAAGATCCTTGGCGTCAGTAGCAAATAAAGTTTATCAAAATGGTTTCAATTTTCTCTGAGAAAATATGCTAAACAGCTTAGATATCCAAATGGCAAAAATGCATGTCCACTTACCTCATCATTGCTTGTCACATTGTTACATCCATCTGTGCCCTGTTTTCTGGCCCCATCTGGACAGATTGCAGTAATGTTAAAATAGACACCTTTTACCTCATTTTCCACCTGAACTTTCACTTCTGAAAGGAGTTTCTGCAGAGACATAATTTTTTAAATTACATATTATGACATTTTCAAATGTAAGCAACTGAACAGAATCAAGTTTATTAAACAATTCTAGGCTTAATTTTTAATGAATTCAGCCTGTCTCTATAAAATGAATAAAAAAGTTTTCATATAATGACCCAATTATATTTGAAAAACATGAGAAATAATGAAGGATCACACTATCTGCATTTGCATTATTTTATTTTTTCATAAATTTTAAAAATAGTGTGTTTTGATCACATCAAAGAAATTTCTCACTCATCGTGTGTTGTAAAAATACTCACTTAAATAATCTAATAATACTTATATTTTACAATACAATTTAAATAAAATATTGTGGACATATCATTACAACCTGTATATCTTGTCAGCATAAAATCTAGAATATGCTTCTGATATTTGCAGCATTAATGAAACTTTTAATTTTTAAACACTTTATTATGCATGCTAAAATACTTCATTGGTATAGAACTGAAAGGTAAACTTTGGGGAGGTGCTTTCTACTCTGCAGGCATAAAAGTTACTTACTAATTATGTTCAGTAAATTCCACTCAGATGCCCTAGGATTTTTGTCCTGGCTTGCTTGTGTCAGTCAAATTTACTCCAGACATTAAGACTGAAATAGAGCCTTTACTGGGCAGGCCATCATTTGTTCATTTATAATTCCACTTTTAGAATCATCCAGAAAAACCTCCATGTTTTGCCTATCATGTTATCAAACACACGCTAATTTTTACAACATCACAACTTCACAAGTAGATCTTGCTATCTTATAAATATATACCTTAGATATGTGTATTTTGTTTCATAAAACTGAGAATCCAACACATGCAAAAAAATCTTTAGCTTATATTTGTAAATAAAAGAGAAGGGAAAGCATGAACTCTGTACTTAAAGAGTGAGCACCAGGGTATCAAGAAAAAAAATTTCCAAGGGCTCCTACTTTTTTACCTATGATCTATAAAGACAAATGTGCTGACTGATCAATAATTGATCATGGATTTCTGGTAGTAAATATTCAGAACAGGATACTCAAATTACTTAATTTTATTTGTATTTGGTAAGATAATGTAAATCATATTTTATCTCCTAGAGAAAACATATACTGTAACCACATAATCAAATACTTCTGGCACCCCAATAGAAATTTCTAATGTTAAATGGCATTGATATGATAATGGTTTCATAGGTTAGAAGGAAATCCCTAATGTAATGAATCCTCTCAGTTTGCCTCTCTGCTTCTCTTAAAACCTTAAGTTAGTTACACTAGTATTTTTAAGCAGGGTATGAAGACAAATCTCTGACATTTTACTCAGTTTGGGCATTGAGAAAATAATTTCCAGATATAATCTTTAAGGATAGATTTTGACTTTAAATGGTGAATTTAATATAGCATATATACATGATTTTTAAATAACTAAACAGGGCTCTTCCTGGTGGTGCAACGGGTTAAAGCATCACATTATGAAGCTCTCTGCAGCATGAGTTCGATCCCCCACCAGGAAGCTGACCCACATAGTGTGGCAGACCTCTTCTGGCCTGCCCGCTGCTCTACTCAGAGAGTATTTCAGTAGATCTGCCTGTTCTGCTCCCCACTCTGTCTCTGGTGAATCTTCTCACCTACCACACCTCTGACCTATACCCCAGTTTTGTAAGCATAAGTAAAAAAAAAAAAAAATAACTAAACAACTAAAACTTATATAATGAAATATTACTTAAGTAAAAAAATATTTAAAATGCATAGAATGCCATGAACCAATATTTAACCATCCCTTTAATATCTAATATGTACAGAGACAGAATCTTTTTTTTTTCAACTGATGTTTAAGTCTTCATTAAATTGTGAATTGTTTATGTTGGATTATGAAGAAGAAATGAAATTTCAAAAGAATTTTGAATATATATATATATATATATGTGTGTTGTGTGTGTGTGTGTATGTATGTATGTATGTATGTATGTATGTATGTATATAGCAATTCTAAACTAAGGATATTGGCTAGCCAAAGTAAGTTTTTATTAGATTTACTGATATTTTTCCATTTTTTTATGGTTAATCAGAACTCAAGTGACTTAAGACTTCACATTTACCTTATCCTAGGTAAATGAAGAACATGAAACCAAGTACCACCACTTCTCTATTGATGTAGTTCAGCATATAGATAGCTTTGTCAATCTATATTGCTTGTTTGGAATAATAAATGGGATCATACTACACATATTAGGGTGATTTCCTAATACTGTAAGTCATTCCTTATTTTGATAATTCTTGGGAACACATTACTAATGAGAATGGATTGTATATATATTTAACTTTTCTTGATTAAATCCCCAAGTTCTAATCGTTATATAACAGTGAAACAGAATATAGTTAAAGATCTTCTTCCTTATTTCATCCATTGCACATTTCAGATAGAGAACAATTCCATGGGGAAAAAGTCTTGTAAGACTTATTTTGCATGCAGAAAATGAAAAGAGAAGCCTGAGGTTTTTCAATGTTTGGGTACTATTATTCCACTCTACGGTGTCAGGAAAGGAATCAGAGAATTTTGGGAAGTGAAACTGTCAGTAGCCTGTAAATTCAAGGTACAACAAAGCATGTCTTTGGACACCATAGGTTTTTTGTTGTTGTTGTTGTTGTTAAAGGAAAAATAGGTGATATCTCAGAGGAGGAAGGATATAAAGTTAAGGAAGGTTTAGATTCTTATTCTATCTTATCTGCTTATTAGCTATTGAACCTTTGGTTTATTTGCTCAGCTTCTTTGAGTTTCTGTAACACGCTGGGAGTACTAACACTTGCCTTTTAGGTCAGCTATTAATGAGATCATGTATGAAAGTGTTTTTTGAGTGGTATTAAAGTAACAGTCACTGGTATTACAACATGGTTATTATTATTACAGTAATTTGTAACAAAGATGATTCTAAGCTGGAATGATCTATGTTGAGAGAGCAGATGTTACTTTAAGTCTTTGCATTTAGCACTCACTTTTCCCAGACTAGGAGTAGCATGCACTTGTCAACTTGATGCAATAGTATCTTTTATGGTGTTTCTTTAAATCAAGCTAGTTTGGTAAGTCTGCAAAGGTAATCTGTTCAGTAAATTATTTATCTAGGATGTCCAACAGTGCTCTTTTAATGATTTTTATATTCCAGATAGTTCATTTTCCATGACAGGCTGCTGCTTTAAATAACAATGTAGATTTCTTACTTTTTCTTTATGACAAACAATATTATGAACTTCGCTGGTAACAAAACAAATGCTATATCTGTAATTTGGTGACTAAATGAACATTTACTTGGGAGGAAATTTAGATGAGGTCTATCCAAACTGAGTTTACTCTCAGTGGGACAAGTGAAGCACAGAAAGTTAAATGATTTTTCTAAGGTATCATGACTGGTTAGTATTGGATCCAGAGTTAACATCCAGGCTTCTAATTCCTAACTTTATGCCCATTTCCATCAGTCCCTTCAAGATGACATGACATTGGGTTGTACTTTGTCACAGAAGTTGGCATTAAAAGTATGTCTGAAAAAGTTGTTTATACATACCTGATAGGCTTCCACTACCAAATTATTAAGGTTTGCAGCCTTTGACTCTATTTCACCAGCAATAGTGCCAGGCAGTAGCGGCAGAAGGTCCTAGAAAACACACCAACATTTATATAGTGACAATGATATATAGTGTTTAGCAATCAACAAATATTAAAAATTTGTGTAGTTATCAGCGGAAGGTGAGTCACTACATGAAAAAAAACTATAAGGTACAATATTTATATTAACCACCTAGTAGGGAGGTCAAAACATAAAAACCTGAAATAGTTTATTTATGTGTATATGCATGAGTGTGTGTGCAGTCACACACACATGCTGATCTAAAAACCCAATCTAAGTATAGATTGGTATTTCCCTAAATATCTTCCGTTAGAATAAAGTCCCAAGAAACTGTAAATATGAAAAGGGTTCTTAGGCCAAATAAATTTGAAATGTTCTGCATATACTTTCTACTCAGAGACTTGAAAGTTGCACTTGTAAATTAAAGGTTCAGAGAAATCCAGCAATTTGGAAATAATTTATCACTTATGGTAGCATTTACCAACAATTAATTACAAAGCATTTTTCTTATGTAACAGATGTAAATATCATTCAGAACTATTGTTCCATGCAATGACCTTTACAATGTGCAGACTCAGACTAGAAAATAAAATCATGGTCACAAGAGGAAGCTTCATGGGGCATGTGTTCTTGATGGATGGGACTTTATAATAATGGACAAGGCTATAGGTTTTCTTAGTAAGAAAATACGAATTATCAAAGGCTTAAAGGTTTACCTAATTGTAGATGAAGAAAGAAACCACTCTAGATGAATAAGTTGCACATTTATAAGGAGCCAAGTAATTAAAAATCTTGAAATTAATTTATTCACTCCTTTTATGGCTCACAAGTATCACCATGTTCCTGCTGTTTCTAGCCAGTAGTTAGACACTAACAACTTGATGTCTCAGGTAATAGTCAAAATGTCACAGTTTTTTAATATTAATTTATCTAACCTTTATTAAGCACCAGCTCTGTCCCACTTTGGGGATACCAACTTGATAGTTTACCATTTCCATTTTTACGGATCTCAGAGGCATATGTCTGATGGTTTCTGAAAACAGTGCATACAAGAAGGAATAGAAATATATGCAGACTTTAATGAGAGGGAAAGCCAGCAAGCATTTTAAGGCTGGACAGGGTTGTCAGGGATTTCCTGGAGAAGTGAAATCACTCTCAATGGATGATTAAGTGTTAGCCAAGTATTGAAGGCAAACAACTTCCAGGCCTGGGGAACTAAACAGCAAGAACAAAGGCACAACAGAAAGAAAGAGGCTATTAAGTGTGTATACACAGGAGGATCAGAAACATGGCTGTAGGAGCAAGTGCAAGCAGAGAATAGTGGGGGTGGGGAGAGAGAGACCAGATGCCAGGTGGCCTCATGTGCCACATTAAAGACTTGATTCTTTAAATCAGAGGAAAACGCTGGAATGTTTTACTTTAGGGAGTACTGTGGTTATACATGTGATTGAAATAGATTATTCTAGCAGCCAGGCGGAGGATGGATTTGGGCAGTGGGTTAAAAGACGCTAACAACCTAGATGAAGGTGATTGATAAAACTCTCTCTGAACAGCCAAAATAGCAAGTGTTGGACTCAGAACAGAGTCTGTCAGTCTTTCAGCACTTGTTGGTTCTGACTTTGTACAAAATTAAATCAATAATAAACCTGGTTTGATGTTTTATCAGTCAGCAGAAAAATTTTAAAAGGAGACACAAAATGCTAAAGCCAGTGACATCAGGAAATAATAATTAACAGAGAACAAGGGGCAAAAGCAATAAAATGATGCGCATTAATTGAAATTCAACTAATGAACTTAGAGGGAAATGTGCAGTATTAACAGGTTGCTAGGAAATACTGGGCAAGCATATTGGCACCTTAAATTTGTTCTTTAAGTTAATTTATTATACTTACCTACACTTATTTATTATACTACCTTCATTGTGATGAGTTTTTAAGAGTATGAATTGATGTGAATAAACTTACTGCCTATCAATACTTAGTACCCAATAAGTGGAAGCTATTACTCTTGTTAATAAAGTGGTTTGGGCCATTTAATTTGAGCCAACATCCTGCCTATATTATTTTAATGGTCCACAGTACCTAAATTTGGGAAAATAAGGAATTAAAGTTGTATTAGAGATTTGTAAGGGAAGAGTAGTATGATTAAAGTAATCACATATAATAAATATAATAGTAAGGCATATCATCTGGGAGCGGGAACATCGACTTTGAGGCAAAAGCAAAGGGGTGCAGGTATTTGTTTTTAAGCAGTAGAAGGAAAAGATAAAGATGAAGAAGATCCAATGAATAAACATGCACATAGAAGAGAAGAAGTGAAATGAGAGGTTACAGGAAGAAAGAACCTAGCATATATGAAGAGAAAGCTATAACAGTGTCATTAAAGGTCATTTCTATGTTTGAAGGTTGGGAAGACAAGGCTCACTAGTGTGCATTCTATTAGGGTTTCTTAACTCACCCTAAGGATCCTACACAAAACCAAGATTACTGTTACATAGGAAGCCTTTGATGGTGAGTCGCTTCTATGACTCCTGTTCCTCATTTACGTGTTTGATCTAGACCAAATGTATATACTAGAGCTAGTGAAAATTAAGGTAATGTTCCTCATCCTTAATCAGTTTTAAGGATATGCCTATGACCAAAGTATAAGCAGACTTTTGGACTTGAAAAGCATGAAGTTGAAGTGTGAACTACTTTTGTGAGAAAAAAATTTTCTCCACTATTGTCACAGTATCACACAAAGTATCATCCTGACATGTGTCACAAAGAATTTATACTTAATTTGAAGATACTATGTGGTATACATTAGTTAGTACAGTATTAAATTTTGTTTATAGTAAGTCACTAGCCTCAGAATCCTTGTGTGGTTCTAAGAAATAGTATTCTAGTTTCAACCAAGTCAACACTTTAAATTTTATGGTATTGGAATTAACATACCTTGTACCAATGAAACTGTTTTCCTTGAACAGCAAAAATGACATTAATGTTGTTGTCTATTAATTTTTCTGAAAGTTGGCCTAGTGAAGGATGTTCCTGTAAGGAATAATGAAATAAATGAGGAAGTAAAATTCAGTAATTTAATCTCACATATACCCAAACTTCTAATATGAAGAAAACCATATCACTGACATACAAATATACTTTGTTGAGAAAGATTATGGCTCTACTAGAAGCATATAAATTCTTAAAAAAATAAGATTAGCACCAACATATTAGGCATGTTTCATAAACAGAATCTCCACAAATACCTATAACTCAGAAATATGAAGAGGGCTGAATTCAAAATAGTACAAAGAGAGTTCAGCTTCCCTTTATATTGACATCGGATTCAAAGGATAACAATATTCAAAAATGGGGACAAATGGATGACAACTACATTGTGAGGCAAAATTCAGTAGTGTATTGGAATGCAACTATACACATTTATATACATACATATATAGTAAACACATAAATGAATATTTATATATTTGATACTTCACATGATTTAATATAAAATTTGTTTTAAACCAGAAAACCCTGAATTTAAATCCTAGGTTGTGACTCATGTTAAAAATTCTATCCTCTATCCTCTATAACATATGAATGTTATCTGATGTCCATTACTGTGGGCAAGATTAGGTTTAAAAATATAACATTATGGGCCCTCCCTGGTGGCGCAGCGGGTTAAAGCACAGCACTGAGAATCTGAAGCCGCTTCCGCATGAGTTCGATTCCCGCCTGCCGCGGAGGTGACCACATGGCGTGGCAGACCTCTCCTGACCCGCCCGCTGCTCCCCTCAGCAATGTACTTCGTGGATCTGCCTGTTCTGCTCCCCACTCTGTCTCTGGTGAAGCCTCTCACCCTCCGCATCTCTGGCCTGTACCCCAGTTCTGTATGAATAAATAAATAAATCTTTAAAAAAATATATATAACATTATGAGGCCTCCCTGGTGTCACGAGAGGCTGCATCTCAGCACTGTCAAGCACTCCACAGCCCCGACAGGGAGTTTGAGCCCCTGCCAGGGAGCTAATCCACGTGACGCAGCAGACCTCTTTCACCTGCTGCTCCCCTCAGAAGTGTATTTCAGTAGATCTGCCTGTTCTGCCTCCTACTTTGTTTCTGGTGGGCCTTCTCACCTTTCCACACCTCTGGTATACACCCTAGCTCTTGTATGCATATATAAATAAATCTTTAAAAAATAACAATAGTAGGTGAACTGTCTAGTACATTTCCTTTATGTAGTACTCAAAACTAACAGCAATTATTGTGAGTTTGATTTTCAAGTATTTATAAGGTGTAGGGTATAGACCTCTGAACTTAGGCTTTTTAAAATTGAGGTAATACTGATTTAAATTCTTGTTTGTATTTTGGAACTGCAGCACCCCCCACCTTCTGGTGCTATTGCTATATAGCCTTCCCACCACTAAAGCACTCACAGTTCACCGCCATATTCTATTGTGCTCCCTTCCCACTTTCAGGGCACCTCTCCTCTTCTCAGTGTCTCAGTTCTATAGTCTGCTTTCAAGAACAAGTCTTTGAGGTTGTCTTTATCCAATCCTTTGTCTTTTCTATAATCCACCTTTTAAGTGACACCATCTAGTATTTGAATTTCTCCTTCTGAATTATTTTGCTTAGTATATACCTTTCTAACTCCATCCATGTTACTGCAAATAGCATATAAGTTTATATTTTTTGATTGCTGAATAGTATTCCATTGTGTATGTATACTGCATCTTTTTGATCCAGTCATCTGATTTTGGGCATTTAGATTGTTTCCATATATAAGCTATTGTAAATAGTGCTGCAGTGAAAATAGGAATGCAGGTTTCCTTTTGAATTGTTGGTTTTTTGTATGCTTTGGGTAGATTCCCAGGAGTGGAATTGCTAGGTAGCTCCATTTTTAGTAATTTGAGGAACCTCCACACAGCTTTCCATAGTGGTCAGATCAATTTGCAAAGTACATTTTTAATCTTTTGAGAAACCTCCATACTGCTTTCCGTATGAGCTGGACAGTTTTCATTCCCAGGGTTTTGTAAAGGATTCCTTCCTCTACACAACCTCCTTAACACTTGTTTTTGTCTTTCTGTTATGAGCCATTCTCAAAGGAGTGAGGTGTATCTTCTTGTGGTTTTGATTTGTATCTCACTGACACTGATCCATCATACTTAATCGTTTGTCACATAATGATATTTTAAATCTCTTTTGCTTTGAGAAATAAAACTTATGTAGAACCAAGTATGACTTTCTTTGTAGTTGTAAAGAAGCTGGACATGCATAAGAGAAAGCAATAAAATTTGATTTAGTAAACACAAGAAATAAGATAACTATGCAATCTAAAGTTATGTAATTAGACACAATTACATACAACAATTACATATATTTTACTGTCTGTAAGTGCTTTTCTAGAAGTTAAAGTGATGGTCTCAAAATTTGTACCATGATGTCAGTGAATACATGAACTAGTATACTGATGATGACCTGTTTTAAACTGCCTATTTCATTAGCAATTTCTTTTTGATGGGGAGGACTACTATGCTGCCTGACATTAAGCACTAAAACTTAAGTGGTGAATGCACTTTCATAATACAGCAGAAGTATTCCTAGCTCTTGTCCACTTGAACACTGCCAACTGTCTAAAGTTATAACTGGTATAAGAGGAAAATCTAATTAAGCTTTAATACACATAAAATGTCTACACTGTAAAAAAGGCTTTTTTTTTCAGTTTTTAGTTGTAATTGGCCTCATCATGTCCTAAACTACCCTTTTTTAAAATTATTATTTAAGTAAAAAATCAGTAGAGACTTATTCTAAAATATTTCTGAAAGCTTGGAGAGAAAGTAAAGGTCTGGAACAAAACCTCATAAATGATACTTCTCAGACAGATGTCAGACTTTGCCTACTTGATAGCTGGTACTTAGTTACATTAGACAAGGATCATGTGACTGAGCTAGCTGGTACTAGCTGGTATCAGGTGTTTCAAGTTTAAATTACTCTTTTTTTTTGTCTGTAGATTTTGCTCCCATTTTCATCCTCCAGTGCTAAATGTATTGTCTGTAAGGGAAAACATTTTTCTATATTAGGTTAGTTAACATTTCTTCATTTTGGCAATTATGTGAACTTAGTAGTAGGAGTTAAACTTACTTATAGCCTAACCTCTGTGACCCACATATTAGTTATTACGCATAGAATTAAGATGTAGCCTTGTGCTTAAAAATACTCTAACATGAGTAACAACTGTAGTCTGAAATATTTGTTTTCATTCCCCCCCCCCACACACACCAAATTCATATATAAATCCTAATCCCTAAGGTTATGCTATTGGGAAGTTGGGTCTTTGGTAAATTATCTATGTCACCCCCCATGAATCAGATTAGTTCTCTCTTAAAGGGGGCCAGTTGGAGAAAGTTTGCTTGCTTCTTCCACCGTGAAAGGTTACAGCTATAAACCTGTCATCTATGAACTAAAAAGTAAGCTTTCATCAGAAATCCAATCTGCCAGTGCCTTCATCTTGGACTTTTGTCTCCATAACTGTGAGGAATATATTTCTGTGTTTAAAAGCCACCCAGTTTGTGATGTTTCATCATAGTGGTCTGACTGGACTAAGATAATAGCCATAACAAATACTCTCTGATTTCTGTATAATCTGTAATTGCTGTGATGGGAACAAATCACACTTTTTAAAAAACATTATTTAAATATGATATGGAGCTAATTAATGAAGATGTTTAAGAGGTATTACCATATGAATTGCATGAAGAATTCTGCCCAGAATAATACTTAAGAATGTAATTTTAAAGTAATAGAAAAACAATCCTTAAAATACATATTTTTGCCAGATAAATTCTTATTCCTAGTAATATGTATATTCTTAAAATATGATGTTTCTGTAATGCTGGTAAATTAAAGAAAACAAATGGAAGAATGGTAAGTTTAGCAGAATTGAGAGGGTTTTTTTAATGGCAAAAACAACTTTTCAGATATTTTTGCTTTGACAAAAATAATCAGTTTGCCAAGCATTCCCCTGTCTTAATTTTTAAAACCATTCACATCTTAAGGAAAATTTAATCCATATGTTTTTAAACAGCTTATACTGAACTCACACAGAATCAATATTTAAAGAATAGCCCAAAGTTTAAGCAGCATTTGGAGCTTCTTAATCCATATCCCTCTTTCAAAAACAGGAAATCATAATGACCAAGAGTACACAAATTTTAAACCTAGAAAATTCTGGTTTGGTCAGAAGCTCATTAGGAAGGTCAGTTGGATTTTTAAACTTTAAAGAACACATTTTTTTGAACCTTAGAAAGAGATGTGTTTTAAAAGAAAATTCCAAGTACCTTAAGGTTATTATTAAAATTACAAATGTTTAACAGATGTTTAAATAAACCACTGTTGACAAGAGAATTGTGGATTAATGGACACTGTTGAAGCTCCTTTCCCTTTCCTCCAGGAATATATTATCTTTTCTGTATATTATCTTTTATGTCTTGTATTTCACTAGCAGGAACACTCCCTCACAGCCAGCTGTCCAGTTCTGGTGACATCACCTTCTCAAATCAAACTCCCCCTCTGTCTAACCTGTTACATATTATTTCTCTAAACTCTGAAAATAATTAATAGAGATATCAGGCATCTCAGGGGCAAAAGGGAGAAGGGAAAGCAATGTGCCAAGACAGCGGTTAAGTAATTAAGGGCAAAAGGATTCATTTCACATTCTTCTTCTTCACCAACACCTTCACTGTGACTTATGAGTAGTAACTCCATGTCAGAAGGGAAGAGGAGGTAAGGAAGACTCACTGGGAGAAATTTGTGATAACTATGCAGAGATAATATGGGAGAATTTTAATAATGTCTGTATGTAGTGGACAAAAAAATGTGCTTAACATACTCTTCATAACAATGAGATTCCTAAATAAAAATTTTATAAGTTAATACAGAATTTTATTTGTTAATACAGAATTTGTTAATACAACTCCCCCTTCTCCAACATTTTGGTTAAACAATTATCTGGATTATTTTTTGCAATTCATGTTTTATATTAAAGAGACA